TTATTAAATTTGATCTTTGAATTTTAAAAATAGTACATTGTAATTATTTTCAGTCCAATTAAAATTAGTAGTGTTGCATTTTTTGTATAAGTGACGATAAAAAAAAGTAACACATGTAGTCATATCAACAAAAATTAAACGGTGATAATCTCAACTAGATAAAACGAACCTCGTTAGATTGTTTTTAAAACTTAAGGGTTAAAAATTGAACTTTTTAATAATAGAAGAATCAAATTAAATTAATTAAGTAAAATGATTAAAAAAAAAAGTAATTTAATATATTTTTTTAATTTTTCTTTTTTTCTAAAGTTTAGGCATGAATGAAATAGATCTAAAAGAAGCTTCCCAGATCTCCTAAAAAGCAGGGATTATAGAAATTAGAAAATAAAAATACCATCCCTAGAGGCTACAACCTTTCTTTGATTTGATCTTCTTACCGTATGTTTATTACAGACCCCCCTCCCAACCTAAAAATAAAAAATAAAAGCATTCAAACAAGTTTTATTAGAAAGTGGTAGAGCTAGTACATACAAGTAAAGTAGGACCTTGATTCCTTTGCTTTTTGTCTCTCTTTCTCTCTCTCCATTACACACAGATTAATATACCATTCTTTTTTCATTCATAAACTAAAAACAAAAGCCTGATAAAGCTGGTTTCATATAATCACAACAGTTTTAACATTCACTTTACCATGGATGGATGCATCATGCCACTATAGCATATCAATTTAACATTATCAAATTAGATAACTAAGTTGTTTAAATATGTTGATAGAGATTTAATTTTTTTAATTGTGTATACTAAGAATGATTAAGAGATAATATACCCTTGAATAAATACAAGAAAATCTGGAAGAAGAAAAAAAAGAAAAAGAAATTGAAATAAGGTAAAAGCAAAAAAGAGACTTCAGAATTGAGTGACTGGATCACTGGGTCCCCTTAGGCTTTTACATAGTAATTTGCAAATGGAGGCAGCCTTTTAAATTTTAACTCATCAGTGATTGGTCATAGCTAAAGTGTCTAGGTGAATTTATTTGTAATGTATGATATTTAAATTAATTATGGAATTGTCACTTTAAAAAGGAAAAATTCACCCAACTAACTATATTACCTCTCCAACAAAAAAGTTAATGACACTGTTTATTGTATGGAAAATATCAATGAAAGTGCAAAAAAATGAAGATAGACCCTGGAGCTGGAGAAGAAAGGTAACTAGAAATGGCGTCTGTGTTTGTTAAATGGGAACATTCGGATCAATAGGGTCCCAGTCTCCCCGACCCAATAGTATGGTAGAAATTTAAAAAAATGCACCTTTGGTCTCTGCTTTGTGCCTTTCAATCTCAACTTTAGACCAAATCTCCATGTTATTTATCAAAACCAGCGATGAAATAATCATCATCATTCAACTTTGTATAGAATCAAAATCAAAACAAGAGTTATGTGTGCTATTTTTTTAATTTTGGGAAAAAAAATAGTGAAATATAAAAAACCAAGAAAAATACACATGTAGTTTGTGTTTACCACAACGAAAATTAGGCACAGCAACAACAAGTATAATTAAGTGATAGTGGTGGAGGCTTTATTCAGTATTTGGCAGAATGACATAATCTGAGTCATGCAGTCAACACAGCATGTAGGAAAACAGGTGTGACCCATGGAAAATTCCTAAAACCTAAAAGGACTTGACCTGACTAAACAACAATACAATTAAAGCCAAAATAAGTATAAAAAAAGAATTAGGACCATTGATCAAATTTGCGACGTTTTGAAACTATTTATTAAAATTCGGTTGTTTTGAAATAATTTTTTATTTTAGGGTGATCCACTAGATTTAACAACAGCCATCACAACATTATTTCTGTCACGTTGTGATAACTTGGCAAGCAACTCTGTAGCAAAGTACCAGTTGCTTTCCAAGCACTATCCATGCATTTTATTCGTGTTCAACACTGGTTACATTAAGAAGTATCGGTCCTCAAACTTTTTTTTTATAAAATAAATACCATTTTAATGTAAAATCGCTTTTATTTATTATTACTTTTCAAATTGTATGATAGTTAAAACTTAGTATAGTTTAAAAAATTTAGTACTGTTCAATTTATTTATTTTTTAAAAAAATATTTAACTTCCTTAAACTTCACTCTTTCTATAAATAGGTATCACAAATTTTAAGTTTATTTTAATTGATACTTAAATTTTGTCTTGTTAGCAAATAAACACCATAAACTTTAATTTTATTATAATTTATCTTTATATGTTATTATTTTTACCAATAAACACCTTGATTGTAATTTTATGTTAATTATTTTTTTCTCAAGTCTCTTATATTACACTAAGATTAAATTACTAAGATAAAAAAATATCGATCATTTATTTATTTTAAATCACACTTATTTATTAAATTGTTTTTACATATATATTAGTTTTATTTTCATATATATTAAAATACCATATAATTTAGAAGGAGAAAAAAATCAAATAAAAACATCTTTTTATTGTTTTTATCAATTTTTTTCTAAACTCGTATTTTTATTATATTTTGAAGAAAAAAAATTGTAGCATAAAAAGAAAAAAGGTTAATGAATGATTGATATTTAAGAAAAATAATTTAACTCTAAATTAATAATATAAAAACTTTATAAAAATAATAAATTATCAAATGTCAAAATCTAATTCAAAATCAATTAGATTGAGATTAAAGTTGAAGGTGTTTATTTGTAAAAGAAGTAAAGTTTTAAAGATTAATTGAAACAAAATTAAAATTTATAATATCTATTTACAAATTTCATAAAGTTTAAGAATTGATTAGGATAAAATATAAATTTATGGTGTCTATTTGTAAAAAAGGTAAAGTTTAGGATGATTGATTACTCTTTTCCCATTTTTCTAATAAATAGGAGTGAATTTTAAATTATTTTTATACAATTAAAATTTTTCAAAATTTTCTCATTCTAACACTCACTAAATTTCCAATTTTTTAATTCGTTTTTATGCAATGGATAAAAATCAAAATTCATTCATTATGGATGTGTGATTTAATTTGATGTCAAATTGTCAATAATTCACAAATTCACGTTTTCAAAAATTCTCCAAATTTACCCTGCCTACAAAACAACCCTAATAATCCAAAATTTCAATATCCTATGTTAAACCTTCAAAATATTGCATAATCACCATAGATTGTATATATTTCAATTATCACCGATTAACCCTTCTATTAATCAAGGGTTTCAATGGGTAGTGGAAATAGACAATGTAATGAAAGAGAGTGCATTAAAAATACATAATTATTAATATTTATAAATAAATAAATAAATAATAACATAAATAATAACTATATTAATAATTTTCAACTTTAACTAATTTATGAATAACATAATTATAATTTAGTAAATGTTATTAATAAAACACAATGCTTTAAGATTTTTGGTGTGACCTATTGGAAACAACTTTGAAGAATTGCTACCATCGAAAAAATTTTGTGCTTAAAATTGCTTGTATTGAGAATAATAAAAACAAGTGATGTATACAAAAAAGTCTCATTGAAAGCAACAAATTGGGTTGCTACCATTGTGGGTGCTCTTATTCATTCAGCCATTATCAAGTTACCATTTATTTTCTGTTGGTTATCAAATTGTTAAGAAAAAATATATCTACTTAAAGATAATTTGCATAAGATATATTCTCTCGTATGAACAATTTCATCATTCGTATAAAAGAGCACATGTATCACTTCTAACTTAATAGTTTACTCGTGAGAACATTTCACTTGAGCGGCAAAATCTCTTTTGCAAGCATCCCACCGCCAATGTTAAGGAGTAGAGACTTATGTTTAGTTTAGTAGAACACTTACGAATTTTGATTAGAACACAATAAAATTTATTTTTTACGGTATGAAATTTGACATTATCTCCCATCTTAATCTTTATTATATTAAAATGTCAAAGTCTTAATGCGTGTTTAGATTAGTTTACAATTCTATACAAACTAATGTTGAAGGCTAAATCAATAAGTAATTGCTTTAACTTTTTCAATTTTTCATTATGATTTAAAAAGGTTTAGAATTGATTTTAAGAAGCATCTTAACATAATATTACCTTTGATTCTAATTATAAGTAATATAGAATAAATCATTAAGGTAAAAAAATTAATTAATATGATTAATTTTAATTAATTCTACCATAAATTTAAGTTTTATTTTAGATATATATATTATATTTTAAGTAATTAATATATTTAATGCTAGTTATAAATAAATATAAAAAATAGAGTTAACAATCAATAAAATGTATACAAATAATTTAACTTTGAGTAATTTTAAAAATTAATAATTATTATTTATAACTAGGACAAAAAAAAGTATATTTGTTACTAATAATTAAAATTAAAGATAATATTATAAGATTTAGAAGATAATTAATTTTTTAATTTATATTATTGGTATCGTAAGATAATCTAATTTGAATCAAATAAGGTTATTATGCGTTATAAACATTAACAATTAATTTTTTTATCCTACATTAACAATTAATTATATATTACCATAAATTTTTCGCTTTTTTTATTTGATTATACTAAATATTTATATTTATTTCATTTTATTATTACGACATATTGAATAAGCGAGTTTCAATTATCGGCTAAAAGGACAGTTGGGAAAAATAATAATGACGTCATTAACGTGGGTCACTGTAAATTTATATTAGATTAAAGTAGCACAGAAAGATTAGCATTGTTGTTTTGCATGTTAATTAACACATAGGAATATTAAAATAGAGGAAAGTATGTTAATTAATCCGAAAGTGGAAAGTAAAAGAGGAGACGTAAGTGTGAATAAGAAAAACAGAATGTTTGCTTATTCAATCGTTAATTTCATCCAAAAGGGTAAAAAAGAGTTAATTGTATTATATTAAAAAATTCATTAATTAATCATGAATAAACAAAACGTTTCAGTAACACCTATGGACTAAAACGTTTTAATAGCACAAGCAGAGGGAATGAAAAAAAACCAACGCGTACAGATTGCTATCTCTCTGGCACACGCACACGCACTGGTTTCTGATTTTCGTTATCTTAGATTCATCGGAATTTCAAAGACAAATGGCCAAATCGGGAAAAGATACGACGTCGTATCCGCCGATAAAGGCAGATCAATACACACACAGCCCAGTTCACTACGCAGTGGCCAATGGCGAGCACGCAAAGCTTTCCAGAATAATATCTTCCCTCCCCCGACTCCCCGACCCGGAACGAGTCGCCACCGAGTCAGACTCGCTAACTCAGGACCGACTCGCGGAAAAAATATCCGCCGTCCTCGACCGCCGCGACGTCCCGTTCCGCGAGACCCCGCTCCACCTCGCCGTCCGCCTCAACGATATCGCCGCCGCGCGCGCCCTCGCCTCCGCCGGCGCCGACATCTCGCTCCACAACGCCGCCGGATGGAACCCCCTCCAGGAGGCGCTCTGCCGCCGCGCCTCCGACATCGCGCACCTGCTCGTTCGCCTCCACCACCGCGCCGCCTGGGCCAAGTGGCGCCGCCGCCTCCCGCGCCTCGTGGCCGCGCTCCGCCGCATGCGCGACTTCTACATGGAGATCTCGTTCCACTTCGAGAGCTCCGTTATCCCCTTCGTCGGAAAAATCGCTCCCTCCGACACCTACAAAATCTGGAAGCGCGACGGCAACCTCCGCGCCGACACCACCCTCGCCGGCTTCGACGGCCTCAAAATCCAGCGCGCCGACCAGAGCTTCCTCTTCCTCGGCGACGGCGACGCCGCCGCCGACGTTCCCGCCGGCTCCCTCCTCGTCCTCAACCGCGATGACAAGAAAATCTTCGACGCCTTCGAGAACGCCGGCGCTCCGATGAGCGATTCCGACGCGGCGGGGTTCTGCTCGCAGAGTAGCGTGTATCGGCCCGGGATGGATGTGACTAAAGCAGAGCTCGTCGGAAGAACCAATTGGAGGAGACAAGAGAAGATGGAAAACGTGGGAGAGTGGAAGGCTAGGGTTTACGAAGTGCATAACGTGGTTTTCAGTTTCCGGTCACGAAAAATCCCCGCCGGCGAATCTGACGTGGCGGGGAGCGAGCAGGGCCCGCCCGCCGAGGCTTGTGGACGATGATGGTTTCCTCGTTGCGGAGATTGGAATTCCAAATAGCAATGCTGATAAGAGAAGACACAGTAGTTTTGTTCGAGAAGAGAGAGAGTGGGTCCCAGTGGGGAGAAAAAGCGTGGATTTGCCCTCCGTTTCGGTGGCGCCGCCGAGGAGATCTTCCGCTGCGGCGGCGCCACTGCCGGCGCTGCCAACGAAGGAGAAGGAGTATTTGAGAAGTTTGCGGCCGGCGGTGTGGCTGACGGAGCAGTTTCCGTTGAAGACGGAGGAGCTTTTACCGTTGTTGGACATTCTGGCGAACAAGGTGAAAGCGGTGCGGCGGCTCCGGGAGCTGCTCACGACGAAGTTCCCGCCGGGGAGTTTCCCGGTTAAGGTACGTGGGGTGGTTGACTATTGTTGACCGTTGCTGTTTGTGTTTCGTTTTGTGTGTGTGTGTGGGTCCCTTTGGGAGGTAAAATGATTCATTTGATAATTGGTTTGATTTGATTGATGGGGGTGAATGATTTGATTTGCGATGGACGGTGGTGATGGAAAGTTTGTGTTTTGATGTGTTTGTGTTTGTGGGGCAGGTGGCGATCCCGGTGGTCCCCACGGTGAGGGTGGTGGTCACGTTTACCAAGTTCGTGGAGCTGCAACCTGTGGAGAGGTTCTACACGCCGTTTTCGAGTCCCAGGCATTTGCTCAGCGGTGATGATGATCGTGATAATGATGATAGAGAACGAGGAAGAGAGGGGTCGTCATCGTCTTTTGGGGGATCCACGTGGCTGAAAAGAAACACCAGTAGTAGTAACCAATCGTGGGGTAAGCACCAGCAACGAAGTTCTTCTGGGGCATTGGATTCGGACCCTTTTGCTATTCCTGCGGGGTATACGTGGACCAATAATGGGGGTGATTCCTCCCGGAAAATCAACAAGTCCAAGTCTATGAGAAGGTCCAAATGAAAAACGCACCACACAGGAAGAGTAACGGTGGAAAATTACACCAGCGACTATGCATAAATGGGAAAAAAATTAAGCTGAAAGAAAATATGAACGATTGTAGCAATGTGCCAAAAGCTGCATCTATTATTGTGTAAATATCCCCGTGTTCATAGAGGTTCGCAGCAAGTAGTTTTTACAAGTTAGAGCTACACTACTTCACTCACAGTTTTGTTTTGTTTTGTCTAGTCTATCTTTAGTAATATAGAAATTTGTTATGGTTTCATTTTTCATTTTTGGATTGGGTGCTGGGGCAGGGAAAGAGATCAGTTTTTTCATGATTGTTTCTGGTTAAGTTTCAATCTGATATTGCCAATGTCACACCATCCTTTGCTGCCTGATTTTCCCCAAGTGTAGTATAATTGGCATTTTCTTTTACTCTCTCGGTGATATTTAACAGATACGAATTTTAAAGTAAGCAGAGTGATATCTGTAAAGAGAAATATTAACAAATTTTAGGGGGTCTTCGAGTCCAATATAGGACAAACTTTCGGATTCACATAACATTTACACAGAATTTTAATTTTACCTCATTCTTAAGAGATGATAGATGGCTTAACCTAGCAACCTGTTAGATGCCAAATTCTGGCTTGCCTCATTCAACCAATCTCTTAAGTTCTTATTTTCTCATTACTAGTTTTCATTATTATTGCGCAAGTTTGTTTCCGGGTCATGTGATTGGTAATGGAAATGAAACCTAACCTACTGCCAGTGACATCTGAAACGCACTTGTAAGTCCCTTATGATGTGAAACCAAAGTTATATGGTGGAGAATGTGAGTCACCGACGAGTAAATTGAAAATTTTGATTATCGAGGCGACAAGAGTATCTAAGACTTATATTAACATGTAAGGGTCAACAACGATCAGCAGCTCAATAGTGAGTAAAATGGTCCAAGACTCAAAGGCATATAAGACTGACTTTGTCAAAAGTAGCCTTAATCCCAAACCCAGTTTAGCGGGTAATCCATTATTGTATAAATGTATAGCGTTGTATAAAAGTCATTGTTCGAAATTTCCACTAATAATTAAACCATTTTTGTACACTTATCTGTGGAAGCACAACAGTAATACTGTCATTACATTCAACCAAGGGTATGCGTTTATTCCCGAGTATTGAACAGCAAGAAATGTTAGATGTTTGTTTGTATTGTAGTTTGGAGTATGAGTAAAAGTGAGATACAACCGTTTTTAGCTCTCTTTATTTTGATTGCAAATAGCGCCCCAAGTGATTCACATTTGAATGAGGCTCCACTGACTTTTACTCTGTCTCCGCATTCAAGATTCAGTCTCCCTCGACATTAGTAATAGTACAAAAGACATTTCCTGGAATCTTTATTCCTTTTACCCCGCTCTTTGGACTAGGCTTTCCCTTTTCTTCTTTAAGTTTCTGATTGTAAGTTTGTAACCTTGAACCACATTTTTAATTCCAATTAACAAAGATCTGCCCATCACAAATCCCTGAAGGATATTTTTGACAAATATCACCATTTTTTTCTTCCTTTTGTTTATGAAAATTTGCAGATTTTGCACACAAAATAAAAAAAGTGGGTTAATTAGAAGTGGTTACTCTTTTTCCCCATAAACGCTGGATCTTAGACACACGCACTTGCTTGTTGTGGTGTCGAGTTTTTTGAAGAAATTTCCTATGTGAATGAGTAATTAATTGTCCACCAACTTCCTCGTGAATTTCGGATAAGCTAGTTATATCTCTAGTAATTCGATCTGTTGGATCTTATCCGATAAAGTCAGGTTCATATAACTTAACGATCGGTTAGTGACCAGCATAACATTAGCCTAAAGATAACATTCAACACCGGATCTTCTCACTTTCCTAGGAAACGTAGCAGTAACTAATTGTGTAACTTCTTTTTTTTTTTGGTTTTATCTCTAATTATTTTTCATTATACCGTTAAAAAAATTAAAGATGAAACAATTCATTATATTTAGTTTCTATTTTTTTTTTTGAATCCTTTTTTTCCCACTTTTATTTCACGTAAGTTAGTTTTTATTTTTTTACTCTTTAAACTTTACTTCATATAGTTTCTCATAACTTTTCTCACTTTAGGTCTATTTAGATAAATTTATCTAGAAATATTTCTTGAAAAGAAAAATAAGAAGAAAAATTGAAATTTTTTTTTCCCAATAAACTAAACTAACTTATATACAAATTAAAAATAAGATTTTGAAGAAGTTAAAAAGAAAAAAATTCTAAAAATTAATATATACATAAACTAATTTTAACTTATTAAGAAATTTAATTCATTTTTCTTCCTATTTTACTTTCTTAAAAGTATTTCATGAAAAAATAATCTTAACATACTTTTTGCATAACTTTTCTCTCTAACTACTCTTTTTATTTATTTTTTTAAACGGAGATAGGGTGCCTCTTTTCTCCTAATCATTATACAAAAAATAATTCAGTTCAATTAAAAATGCAATTTGGTTATTTAAGAAAATAGTCTCAAATTATTAAAACAGACAATTTAGCTGGACTATTTCAGTTTTGTAAGGGTACGACCACTCGGTCACCAGATGACCGATACCCGATCGGCCACCAAGCAGTAGAACCTAGTAGCCGACACCCGTTCGGCTACCGAGAAGCCGAAGCCCCAAGCCCAGTACACCATGGACTCAAAAGTTATCCCTAATCAACAATTAAGGGTTAATCACAACGATAAGTCGATTAGGAACGTATTACCTAATGCTGTAATTCTGTTGCAGGGCCCAGGGAAGTCAGGGCCCATTAATGTCAACATAAATAGCTCTTGTCACGAGGTAACGTCACTGTTCATTAATTACTATCAATATCTGTACCTGTTCTGACTTGAGCGTCGGAGTGCCTTTTGCAGGTACCCTCCCTCTCACCAGAATATTCGTTCGGATCTCTCGTTCGACCCTCAAAGTATGAGAAGATTATTAATGTGCCCTTCAAACAGGTACAAGTTTGAACAAAATAAAGTCAGTTTTTATACGATTCATTAGAATTCAATATTGCTGAACATCCTTGGCCTGCTACAATCTTACCAAAGTTGAACGGGAGCCAATTGGCATAGTGTATAGGCTGGCCAAAGTATTGCTACTACGTGACAAAGATGAAGATTAAAAATTAAATTAAGAAAGATGCCGCACAAAGTTTGCTTAAGCAGGCGGATATACTCAAATTGGTGAGTCCAAACATAAAAGATAGATTAGGATTTAGGGACAGAAAAAGCATGTATAAGGGATGTCTATATAGCTTCGACTTCATTCACCTCCCTTTCGGTTCTTTCAGCATCTAATTCCAACAATTGAGTCATACGAGGTATATTACCCATTACTTTGCATGTTTCCAACTCTTTTAGACTTGCCATATACTTGTACATCTAAAAACTTGTATAAGGTATGACATGGTTCTTAGAATCTACTTTATGATTCATGATTGAGATGAGTATTTATTCATTGTATTGACGGAACATAGGAAACATGGGCACCGAAGCAGCAAGTTGGGCTGACCAATGGAGTGAGGGTGGTGTGGAGCATCATGGCACTAGATCCCAAAAGTACACCAACACCAACAAGAAGAAGAATTCCAGTTTAGAAAAAGTCAAAGCAGCTGCAAGGATAGGTGTGCAAAAGATTAAGATCGGGGCCTCAATTTGTGTCACATGGATCAAAAACCAACTCAAGAAAAAGAGGACATCCAAATAAATTGGGAGGATTCAACTCTACGTGTAATTCTACTCTATGGTTAAAAAGATTCTCCTACTACCACGATTGCATTGCAATACCTCTTGCTTCCTTCCATTTATCATTTTTATTTATTTATTTTGTGAGGAGGCAAAAGTCCATGGATAAGAATCCTTCCAATTTATATCTGGATTTTAGAGAATTGAAAATAATAGTTTTAATTAAAAATGTAAACTGTTAATGTTACTAATACATTCTTACAATGATTTTGAATAGAGTATCACGAGAACACGACTCCGTAACGTAACCGCTTGACGATGTAATACCTTCATCCCATTATTTTTTTAATAGGTCATATAAGCCCCATCATTTAGTTGATGAAAATACGTGTTTGTGCTAATGTCACTTTCCTACTCCAAATCTTGGTATCAAAATAGTGCTCTATAATTTTCGCCCAAAAATTAGCCAACAAAATTAAAATGCGTGGTAACCAAATCTAAATTCTTCCATTGAAGATTTGGCGTAGGCAAGTGGTAATATAAATGTTACCGAAACCAAGCAACACAGAATTCAAATGCGGGGTAACCAAATAATTATTTAAATATAAGAAACATATTCAAATGTAGCATAACAATACTCAATAAGCCATGCATTGACAATTGGGTGCAGGAAAATAATAATTTGCAGGAGCTATTTACAGAAGTTAAGATGCATTATGACTAGTGGGATCCGAAGGTGTTCTCTCCGCTATAAGTCATGTAAAGAAAACCATCTCGATCCTTATTTTCCTCATAAATAGCAGACATCAATGCGGCTGCAAGAACAAGAGATTTAGTACATAACCATTACCAAAGAGGTAAAAACAACATTTGGTATGACTATATACTTACCAGTTGGAGGTAGAGTGTTATTGATGAAAACAAATATAGCCTTCTCTGCACTGAGCTTGATTCTTTTGCGGACAACATAAACAAACTGGCCAACAGTTAAATCAGCAGGGACGAGGTATCTACATCATCACAAGAAGAGAACCAATTGAGAATCTACCAATGCAAAGAATCAGATCAACCATATACATAGATCAAGATCAATATATTTAGTCCCTCATTCTGTAATATGGAGAGAACAAGTCATGTCCTCCAAATTTTACTCTTATCTACCTTATATGCTTCAATGTTTAAAACAAACCGAAAATATCAACTTGGAGGCAACTTCACATGCATATGCACTTATGCAGCATGCCCTATTCATAAATCAAATTACCATACATCCCAAAGCAGAGACTTGGTTTTATATTACTAAACAACCACATTTTTTAGTGTATTAATTGTTCTTCAAAGTACCATTATATGAACAATTAAAGATTTGGCCAAATACACTCACTTTGGTAAATAGATTTCCCAAAAAGAATACCATTTGTACATTTTGGCCTCACTAGTTAATCTTTCAAAAATACCATTTGATTATGAAGTGGCGTACAAAAATTTATAGCAAACGGGCTTCATAGTTTTAGCAACAGTACAAAATCATTAAATTATCAAAGTTGCAGCATATTATAAGCACATCAAAGTGTCAACTCGACATAGATGCTTCATTTCACACTTTACTACCTTCACCACCAGAAACTTTTATCATGTCACTTGCAGGACAAATTACAAACCCTCCTAAATATTCAGAAAAAGCATTAAAACCCCCAGTCCCACCCACCCCAAGATAAAAACCTTCAGGCAGCAAAACAATATAAACAAGCCTGGAAACTAATCAAAAGGGATAGAATAGCATAAGAAAATCACTTACTTTTTCTTATCAATGTCAGGAATGTCACTTCTTTCCGCTTTCTCCACAATCACCTGCACACAATTATCACATTTAAACAAAAGTGCTAAAAAAAATATAAAAAAAATAAAATAAACAGGGTATATATATCTATACTGAGTGCAATCTTACAGGTATTCTATCAGGATATTTTTCTTTAATGCGACCAGCTTCAGCCTGCCTTCTTTCTGACATGTAAAAAACAGCACGTTGTTAGCTATTTGAATAAACAAAGGGTTTTAGAATCTCAAAAGAAAACACTCATGCAAACATAGTAAACAAGTTCATCCTTCCATCCGTATACAATAAAAAGGCTAAGGATCCTCTCCATTCCCCTACAATTTCAATTTTTATTTTGTACATCACCAAAGGCATGGCCAAAAAATAATTATTTGATTCCCAACAGATTATATAAGAAATTGGTGAAATGAAAAATTAAGAAAAAATAAAAAAGTACCCAAAGGATGTTGAAGCTTGAAGGAGGATTTGGCCATGACGAAATTAGAAGAGTGATTGATATCTGCAAATTTGAAACAACGAAACATTAAAACTTGCGGGCACCTCGGAAATCGAAAAAGGGAAGTGCAAAGTTGAATGAAGAAAAAAAATAAAATTGAGAAACCTATGAATGATTGAAGTGGCTGGGCAAACGAAAGAGGGTATGTCTCTGTCTGGTTGTGGATGGAATTGAAATTAGGGTTTGGTTTTGTTTTGTTCTGTTTGAGTCCAACACGGAACGTCTACTTATACTTTCTGTATACGCCTCGGATCGTTTCTTTCGCAAGTAAACTTCGCTGTGCGCAACCATCTTTCAAACAATCACACGTTAGTTAAACCTTTGCTCCAATATTTTTATTTATTTATTTTTCTTTTTTTAATCTTTTTTTTCTTTTTCTTTTTTTGTGTATTTTAGGATAAGGATAAAGTACTAGCAATCTAGCATGGGTGGGACCCATCATATGAACCCACGGAAGTCTATTTCACGGCTTATATTCTTTAATAATGTTGATGGATTAGAAGTTAAAGGGAAAAAATAATATAAAAAAATGTTAATAGAATATAAAAAGAGATGAAGATATTTTTCTAATGATTTTCACTTTTTTTTACATAAATGATTTTCACTTATTTGAATAAAAAAATGGAACTATACATTATTACTCGGTACAAAATTTAATTTTTCTTTAATTCTTTTCCCTACGGATAAAAAAACCTATTAAAGAAAATAGAGAAGCTGAATATAAAAATAGAAAAGTAGGGAATAAAATTAACTTATCCCAATAATAACAAATATATGGCAAGATTCTAGCATTCTAATTGAAAATTTTAATTCCGTCATTTATTTCCCCACAAGTTAGGGAGAGAAGATTGTGATATCCTAACTTATTAAGCATATCATTAAAATTCTAACTTCATATTTTATATTTTATTGATCTTTTGTTATGTTGGGATTAATTTGAATTTATATATATTTTTATTTAGTTTTTAAATTATGAATTTTTTGGGGTCATTTTTGAGATGTTTCTAAAATCGTTTTCAATTTCTAAAATATTTGGTTTTTTTTAATATTTGAATGGAACATTATGTAAAAGATAAATAAAAAATATCTTTTTCTTATTGAAATTTTGAATTTTTTGAATTTTTTTAATATTTAGACTTAAATTTTTTAAAGTATAACAGTAAGTGGTTACTGATATGTACACTAATGTTTATTTAATTTTTGAAATCCAGAAATCTGTTTTCTCTTTCATCTTTAATGTTATGTGAATCTTATAGATAATTTCAAACATATAAATTATACCATTATTTTAATATGTGTAATGTATAGATATATTTATATTTATTATATGTAATTAAAATTTATAATAAACTATTTAAGTAAAATATTATATTTAAATATATAATTATATTTAAAGTTAATATATATATATATATAAATACTTTATAAACATATACATAATATTTTATATTTTAAATTTAAATATTTTTGTATGAGATAGAAATTTGTGTTAAATATATAGTAGTTGATTTTAAGTTCATTTATATTGTAACATAAAATTATTTTAATTATTAATATTTTATTTTAAAAATATTTTAATTTAATTCTAAAATAAATATGATAGATATAAATTAAAATAGATAAAAAATTAAAAACTCTCTAATCAAATAAAGACATAAAAATATTTTTATTAAAAAAAATTAATAAAATCATTCTGGTGCAATATAATTATTTTTATTTATATATATACTATAGTCTTTTAATAACTTCATGTTGTGTCTATTTTTGGATTTGTATATAGATATTTATAATCTTAGTTATATTTTCTAATTTTTTAAATTTAAATATGTTTTAATTTTTGTAAAATAAATAAATTTTTATTTTTATTTTTATTTTTCTTTATTTTTAACTAGTATTTTAATTTAAAAATTATATAAGTAAAATATTTATTATATATAGCTAATTTAAAATTTGTTTTCAAAATATTATGTCATAATATAAACTAGTCATAGGCTAAATTTTATTATATATAGCTAAAATTTATAATAAAAATATTAAAATATATATAATGTTTCAATTTATAAATTATATTTAAAAATCGTATAAAAAATTGTTTTTAAATATATAAATTATATATATTTTTAACAACAACATATAAATTAGATTTTAAATTTATGATAAAATATGGTAGAGTTCATCATCCAAAGTTGGGTTGCTCATAGATAGAGCTGTCAAAACGGGTTACTTGGCCCACCACAGGTTGGTCATTTGGTGGGCCAATCCAACCCGGCTCATTTATCAGTGAGCTCAAAAAAATCGAACCTAGCCCGGCCCACTACGGGTTGGTAGGTTAAATGGGTTGGCTCACCTTTAAAAAAAATAATTTTTTTTCATTTTTTTTCTTAATATACAACTAAAGCCCAAAAATTTAAACTTATTTTAAAAATATGAGATTCTTAATTAAGACATCCATAAATGAATCATTCATCCCAAACATTAAATGATAATTTTAAATACAATCAAATCAAATCTAAATAATCTCAAATAGATAAATATAATCCAAAATCATCTTAAACTTCAAATATAATCCAAAATTATCTTAAACTTCAAATACAATCCAAAATCATAAAAATTACAAATCACAATCCAATATTAAATTATTATTGTCTCATGTTGGTGGGCCAGCCCGACTCACCACGGGTTCAACCCGGATGAGCCAGGTTGTTAGTGAGTCGGGTTCAAATTTAACCCGTATTGAAATTTTCAAATTTTTTTCAACTCAACCCGGCTCGAACCCGTGGTGAGCCGGGTTGGCTCACCGGGCCAAACCCATTTTGACAGCTCTACTCATAGATGTGGAATTGGAGGGTTATCCGTTTACCTGGAGGCATGGGAAAGGGTGGACAGGGCGATGGTAACCCAGGCGTGGATTGATCTCTTTCCCACCAATACACTGAGTAACCTAACCTTGTTGCACCAAATGTCAGATCACTCACCTATTGTGGGAATTAAGGAATGCAAGAAAATCATATATGCAGCAGTTAAGATACAATAGACACCCCGAGGCAGTGGCCTTAAAAATCAGCTTGGGTTGCTTCTCATGCAAGAAGGAGCGGCTATGGTTTTGAAGGAGTCCATTATGTGGCTCATGCATTAAGATAATTGACACTATAGTCATAGAGAGGGATTGCTTAAGAGTTGTTAATAGTATCAGTAACAACATCATAGATAGTTGAGTATGGTCACATTATCAAGCAGTGCAAATTAATGGCAGATTCACTCCCGAATTACAAACTTAGGTTCATTCAGAGAATTTGGTGACTCACCACTTAACTAGACCATCAAATTCTTTTATTTGTCATCTCCATTTTCATTAGTTGTCCATGTTCTTAATGAAATGACATGAGTATGTTGCATAAAAAAATATTATTTTTATTTGTTAACAATTTAATTAAAATATTAAAATTTAATTCATAATAATTATGGTAAATAAAAATTAAATTAGATAAAAGTTACAAAAATTCTTAAAAATTCTCCCATCAAAGAAAAGTCTCATAAAAATATTTTTGTGTAAAATAGAAGTTCATGTTTAATATATAGGAATTATTTTTTTTTAATTTTGAAAAAAAGTTTTTTACATTAAAAAATTATTTTTGATCCTTCTAAAATTTATAAACATTATTTTTTATTCCTGTAAAATATTTTTCTTTTATTTTTATTTCTCTAAAATTTAAAGTCGCTATTTTTTTTTGTCTCTAATAATCATTTTAATATATATGTATATATATATATATAACACTCATTATAATAATTTATAAAAAAAAAACTTAAAAGTGTCAAATAATCTTCTAATGAACATATAGTTAAAAAAAAGACAACATAATAGTGGAATTAAAAACAAATAAATTTTTTACAGTGATCAAAATAAACATACTCATTTTTGTAGGGAGTAAAAAAAAAAAATAAATAAATAAATATATATATATTTATTTTTTTTTAATTTTACATGAGGTAGTTTTGGTATACATTTTTTTTTATTCTGTCATAGCTTTACAACTACCCAAAAACATTTCATACTCTCCTATTGATAACTACGTACTATTACTCAATCTCTCAAAATCTCAAATATTTTATCTTTTATTTAAAAAAAAAAAAAACATGAAAACACAGCACTTCTTTTACGCCAGTATATACTGATTATGCCACTAAAGGTATATCTTATAATTAATTTGTTTTAAAAATATTACTCTGTTATACAGTAGTTGTGATGTATTTTTTTTTTTTTGGAGCGTTAGTTGTGATGTATATATTTATTGTTACATGAATGTGAAGCTTATGCTATTATCGAGTGCAATTTGGGCTTGAGACTTAAAATCTAACACACCAACAAGCTTGATGTTTGACGAGCTTGAACTAGAGAATCACTAACACCTTATAACATGATCAAACGCAAGAGGTCTTTGAATATTTAGTGATTAAAAATATAAACAATTTAAAAAGAATTACCATGTGATTGTGCTTGGATTTGAGTCTTTGACAATAATTAATCCCATTCAAGACATTACTTTATCAATTCATTCACCATTTAAAGGTACAAGTTCATCTCACCTTGGACCTTGGATTATTGGAGGATCTACTTAGATCATTAGTCTTTTATATAGTTTTGCTACAGCTACGATCCACCCACATCTTAAGTTTATATATTATGGGCCAATCCTTAACCCACTTGGCGGGCCACATTGTAAGTTTCTTAGTACTATGACAACAAGGCCACTGGCCCATAGGCAATTATTTCATCCATTTCTCTTCACAAATCACACACTCTCATTTTTCCGTTCCTGGTTTGTGTTTAGTGTCTAGTGTCTACCTACCCTTTTTAGTTTCCTTCATAGAGTCTCAGACCCACTTCACAACAAATAGAGAAGACCAACATAAGATGGATCGCTGTTTTTGTACCTCCTCAACTTCCAAACAAGCAAGTCATTGTGAGAAGGCTTCAAGCTTCAAGAAGAGGTGGCTGAACGCGGCTAAGGAACAAAGGTCCAGGCTATATATCCTAAAGAGGTGCATTATCATGTTAATGTGTTGGCAAAAGTACGAGCATTATTGACTATTCAAAAACCACTGTGTTTTGCTATGCCTCCCTTTCTAGCAGGTGGACAAACACTACACCGTTTTATAAGGTAACCTTAACCTTCCAGTTAGAGGATATCACAATAGATCGAGATTGTGTTTTAACTGAAAAGATGTTGTTGGTTGGTATTGAACTATTCATTCAATGACCACTTAT